TGCTGGGTGAAACTATGGACAGGACGGTGAGGTGTACATTAAGAAGAATTGCAGGGACAGCTGATTGGTCGGCAACGTCCATTTGTACATGGTACCATCTTCGTTTTATCATCGTTTTGATGGGGATTTGGGTGGATCACATGGATGACTCAATGAATTGGTTGAAGCATTTGCAGGAAACCCCAGTGTTGCACGTCCAAAACCATGTTTCTCCTGTAGATGTTCCCTCCCTTACCACCAATTCCGGGAAATTCTCGTCGCACCTCCCCGATCTCAGACCCTTCACACCACTCTTGAAGGAATCCATCCGGACATCCTGGGAGACGTTGATGCGACCGTCATCACTTCGGCTAGAGAAAGACCGTCAAATATCGTGAGGAAGCGTCACAGAATACGACCCCCCCTGAAATTATCGGTTTCTTCAGCACTTCCTGCCGGTGCTTTTTCCGCGCCAGGACGCACGCTTCCGAGCGCTTCGGGAGCGTGTGGCCGTGATGATTCCGCAGAGTAGCGGGCAGGTGTGGTCGGTGTAGGATGAAATCCATTGTTGGATTGGTGTATCACCTACTAATCGGAATCTATTTAAAGATTATACACATATATAATATGTATTATATAATAGTGTTTTTGGACCCTGAAACGATGTCTCTTTTCCGTCTCGCCAGAAAACAGAAACATGCAGCAAATTCGTGATAGAAAACATGACGCCAAAATGACGCAGAAGTGACAAAAAAAACAACGCAGAAGTAACAAAAATCGACACCAAAACTGGTTGTTGCGTGTTTTTTTTGAGCTTCGCCTGAAAATTGCCCTCACCAGAAAAAAATAATATGTCCTTTGCGGGGTCTAGGTATACAAGAAAAAACGTAAGATAATACAATAAATCATACAATATATAACAGTTCTTATGACACAACAATTCAATAAATTTATTGATACCACAATAGACCTATATTTCTCACCAAGTCCTTCAATGCAACTTTTGCCCAATCAGATGATCACTATGCCCATCCACATCAAACATATGAACCTTTCAGAGAGTACATTACCCGGTTGAAAGCCAGCAGCAGTCACCACCTTTCGCAGCAGATCAACGTTTGACCCACTAGCAGTTGGTTGAAACTACAATCAATTCAGGAGGTGTGAGGTGCACCTTGAACAACATTGCCCTGTCATTGGGCATATATATATATATATAGTGGATTCCTTCAATAAACCTAATTGTGTTGTTTTCTTCCTGTCCCTTTTGGTGCAGGACAGGCGTTCAGAGTTTTTTTCAGCTCCCCCTCCACCGATCCTCCCAGCGATCGGCAGGGCTTGGCGAGCTTTGCCTGGGCATATGCAGTGCTGCGCATCCATGACCCACTGGTGATGTGAGCGTGCTTCGGCGAGCGATCACGGGTAGGATCGATGAGAGGGTTTCTATTCCGTTTTCAGGTCCAAAGACTATATTTTGATATATTTTGACCGACTGAAGTAAAGGAAATTCCTTTTTGGGTCACCTAAAGACCATTCTTTGTATAGTCTTTGACTCCCAGGGTATCCGTTTTCAGGTTCAAAGCCTTCGTAGGTTGGGTAGGGTTGTACATGGGCTGTACATGTTTGGTGCTGAATTTCAGGGCATTAAACGTAGACGGTATAGACTGGATGAGTGGGGTGCGTAAGCAATTCGTCTCACACATTCTCGTTTGCTGAGTGCGGAGCTCCTGGGGAAGCAGAGTAGCATGAGTCATGAGGCTCGTTTTTCAACCAAGAGAATCAAGAGACCACCCCCAAGAGGCTCGTGGCAATAGAACCCATTATAGAGAGTAAAGTGCACCCGCACGCCTCCCAAGCCTGATCAACCTAGGGGTGCCAAGGTCGCACTCACTATCAATCAGGCTTGGCCTCCGCCTGTCAAGAACAGCTGTCCGCGGACAGAAACTACCCGGTGCGGACTCCCCAAGGATCGCTGAAAGGACGACCACGGCCTCGTCGCCCCGAGACCTGGCCAGCTTGGCGCCGCTCGGGTGAAGACGGCGGGTTCTACGTCGTCTTCGTTTGGTGCGCCGGTGCGCGCCAGGGTTTGTAGGTCAATGGCCTATGGGATGGACATGTATGGACCCAGGGTGGGGCCGGTGGGTGGTGTCTATTTTGTGTGAAGTTTGGCAGGGATCACTTCCATTCAATCAGGGATCGGATTGGTTTTCATGGCTCAGAATGGGCTGAGCAAATCTGAGCAATCATCAATCTCCCATTAACCTAAGTGTTGAGGCAGCTTATGATGGAACCAATCAGAAATGTCAGCCAGATAAATGCAGATGATGTTGCATGTTTGATTAATACGCCTCTCATTTGGATTGTATAACCTCTCATTTGGGGAGCTTTATTACACGTTTATTTCATCAGCAGTCAGCATAATGGCATATTTAACCTTTGAGCCAACCACCTGTAAATCGCTCGTGTCCACATCCGGAACAGATCCACCGCGACAGGCTGCATGTGAGTTACTCCGCGCTTTTGGTTCTGAGTTACTCCGCGCACGGGTGGCGTTTGTTTTAGATCGCAATGAGGTGATCCTTTGCTTCTTTGGTGGTTCAGCAGCCATCCTTCCAGAAGATGGTGTCCCAGCGTGTCCCCTGGCTGATCTTCGCGGGACACAATCGCGATAAAACCGTTCCAATGAATGTCGCGCCACGATGTGCCAGGCGACGTGTGCAACAACCACTCGTTCCTTTTCACGACCTTGCCTGAGACACGCATTCTCCACGCATTCTCCACTTCATGGAGTGGTCCCCCCTACCTCAAAAACTACTCCAATGTCCCTTGATTGACCTTTGCGTTTGAGAAGAATCCCCGTGGTGAAGCTCGAAGAGGAAGGGGACCACTCCATGACTCGCATCTGACCATGTGGGATCCATCCGTCGTTCCGTATACGTCCACCGTGACGTGCCACCGTTGCTATCCCAAACACAACCTGTTTGGGACTGCCATAGAACTGCCGATCAGGCCGGGGGTGGCAGGGGGGTCAATGTAGGTAAATATGCCATACATGGAGTGTTTGGGTATAGTGGATGGCACTGTTGGCACCGCCTTTCAGGACCTGGTCAACCGTTTTCCCCACGTGATACGACGGGACGACGGGCCACAGTGTGGGAGGGTTCAGTGGGGGAAGATGGAATCTTCTAGACACGCGGCTGCCAAAGCACCAAAATGGCTGAAGCACTGTAGAAGTCGAAGACTAGACCTGCCCTTAAGTTTCCGGTCCCCTAGCCAGACGGGCCTTTTGACCGTAGAGTGTTTAGAGTCTTTGACTGCTAAGGGGGCCGTTTGTCCATGGCACCCGGGCGAGTAGTCTTCTGAGTGAGCTCACGCTCCGCTTGCGCCTGTCAGGTTTGCTCCGACCTCGCCAGCCTGTTCAGCGCCATTGACCTCGCCAGCCTCGCATGGTCCATGGCCATCCTGCAGTGGCAAGACACGCCCCTGCTGGAGACCCGCCCCCCCTGAACACGCAGCGTGAAAACCAAACACCCGAGGTTGTTGGGGCCAACTGCGTGCTTTTTAGTGGCGGGTGGGTAGACTTTGCAAGGAACTTATGGGCGTTAGCATCGCGTCTCCAGCTGCGTCGAGTCGAAACCTGACGACCGACTCCACCGACTCCGCCTCCAGGAGAGCCTTTCAGCGGCTGCCGTTGAAGGCGGTGAGCGTTTTCCAGTGCAGGCCTTGGCAAATCTGGTGTGGTGCCTGGCCACGCTGCGGGGTGACGCACCGGAGCTGCTGCAGATGGTGAGTTCCAAGAGGTGCAGATGGGTAGAGAGATAGAATAATGGAAGGATCAAAGGGATGAAATCAGCATTCGAGGTTGTAGAGACGCTGTCGACACGTGAAGTGGTGCAGATGGGTAGATTGGATAACAGTTAGATCAAAGTTAGATGAAAGTTAAATGAACATCATAAAACTGTGCGAGCTGCGACTCCTACGAGTTTATGGTATCGCTTCGCTTCAGCGGGCCCGTGGACGCTAGCAACGCCCTTGCTGCGCAGCCGTTGTGGTCCCCAAGGGGTCGAAGCAACGCCCCTTCTTCGTTTGGCCAAGCCAGGGCGGCCATAGGAACAACTTACATCGCACCACAACTCGACCTGATGGACATGTATACGCTGTATACGCCTACGCTCCGAGGCAACCGACATGTGTTCATAGATGGATATTGATATAGTAACGAAAGAGTCACATGGTTCCCTTGAATGGTTCCCTACAACTCCCGATGCAGTGCATTCTTGCTGGACAAAAAACGACTCCTGTGTCGTTCCGACCAGATGGACCACATCATGGACACCACGCCCGGATTTGACTGGGCACCCCATTCATTCGGTGCCAGTGAAGCCACTGGGTGACCAATAACGGCTTCTAAGCGCCAATGGCAGTGCCACGCCAGGATCCCAGAGCTTCGGCCATAGGACTTGGCCAACATCACTTGGACCTTCGCGATCTTGGAGCTTCGCCCCGACGCGCGGAGCCGCGCCGATCTGGGCGAGGCAGCGGTGGGGCAGGTGGCGAGGTTTACGCCCCAAGGCCTGGTGCGTCGATACCGCTGGCACTGGAGAGGGAGAAGAGCCAAGGAATGCGAGGTTGGAGACGAGTCTGGGACGTTTGCAGCTGTAGTTCTGACTGGTGCGACTCGTAGGGAATGAGAGTGGCTGGATCCAAAGGAATCTCTATTGGGGGCGAAACTTTCCTCATTCTCTACTAAGCACCAGTCAGTATTTCTGGGACATTAGTGCGAATTTCCTACCAACTGGAACAACCTGTTTTTTGCACCCGTTTTGTTCAGCAATGACCAATAATGACGGACTGAAGAACTACCATGCATGGACCAATATGGACCATGGCATTACCACGGTGTTGATATAGTTTGTTTATTTTGGCTTTACTTGAAAGAAGGCTGTCAGACCCTGTGACGGCAATCTCAAACCAAGGAGTGTGTTGCGAGATCGATCCCTTTTGACCTATGCTTTGATTTCATGAGGCCTGCCACGACCCAGCGCCTTTCGCGCGAAAGCGCTCATGCTTTCGCTTGTCGCACCACCCCCACAGCGCGGCCATCCTCCACAGCACCGCCATGTTTGTCCGTGCTAGGGATGTCCAACATCATTTGGGGCTGGGCCACGTTGGCGCTCTTCCATCGGCCGCTCTTCGATGCCACCGCAGACCTTCTAAAGCAGCGAAGCAGCGAGGGAGACCTCGGCGAGGTGCTGAGTGAGTGGAAGGCGCAGCCCATGAGTTGGCAAGAAGAGCAGGTCATAAGTTATAAGAATTAAAACGATAGTACATGATATTACGCAACAAACACATGATACAATGTTAATGTTGTTCTGTTGGGTGTTTTTTTGACAAACCATGTCCTTGGATGTTGCTTGCTAATACTCTTCATGTACCACACAAGTGGTGTGGTCTTCGTGTCGGGCCCTTTTGGGGCCCGAGACGACTCTCACCGCACAAGAGTGGTGAAGAAAGCACAAAGTTGGTACTTACTCATGAAGATTTGCACCATCAATTGCAGACGGGTTCACTTGTGTAATGATATATTGTGACATATCAATTGAACCTATGTGATACTGACAAAGTACTGTTGGAGGTGCTAGATGGGCTGACACTCAACTGGGTCCAAGATGCACCTTCGAACTCTTTACACTGTTCATCAAGCTCACTTCCTATATCCCCTTTGTTTCACCATGTGTCACATTCTTTTTGGCCCCCCCCCCCCCCCCAAAAAAGAGCCAGGCGCAAGAGCTGTCCAACACTGCCTGGAGCTTCACCACCGTTTTGCACGTCCACCCTGCCTCGGCTGCCATGGCCCACGCGGCCCTGCGGCGCTTGGACGAGTTCCATGCGCGACACAGTGCAAACCTGGTGCCGGGGTGGAACGAAGGGGTGAGTGGGACATGTGGGGTGCCAAAAAGCAGGAAGATGTGGGTCAGGGTCACGTAGGGTCAGGTCACATAGGGTTGTAGTTGTGATCATCATGTGTGTTTGCAGATTTCCCTGTCGCAGAACTGGAAATCGCAAATCATAGTCATATATAATCCATGGTAGTCCATGTGCCAAATAGGTATAGTAATCACGGAGACCATATGAGCAACAGTCCAATTACCGTAGATGTGTTTGGTTTTGGATGTCTTGTTGGCTTCTTGTATGGTTCCTATTTTTGCACCAAACCATGGCATCCATGGGAAGCGATAGGTGACTCACAAAAACGATACCTGCTATGATAGATGTTTTGGATTCAGAGACTGCAGTGAATGTGAGCGGACTCTCGGTTCTGCAGCCCAATTGTTTCATAAAGACAACAGCTGTGCAAGTGAAAGATGGTACGGTCACGGCTCGCTTAGTGCGCTTTTGCTTGAGGATGAACTTGGGCAAATGCTTGTTCAATAGCAAAAATCAAAGGGTTTCGACATCATCAAGGCCACCAAAAACACTCAGTGGACCCCTGTGACCGGGGGGGCTCAGGTGGTGGCGGGCTGACTGCTTCAAAACTAGTTGTGAGGAGCTTGAAGTGGCAGGCGTTCCGCTTGGACCCATCCCCTTGGAGCAGAAGACAAAGTTAGATTGAAGACCACGTGTTTTTGGGCCTGGCTTCTTCTTTTTGATGACGCCCAAGCTGCAGAGACAATTGGACTGGAAGATCGTTTGAAAATTGTGGGGGTATATAACTGGCTCGGTCACAACTCTTCGATGTTTTGGGTTCCCTGAACACGGGTGCCCAGGTGCTATGTATATAAAGTTTTTCCTTCTGATTGGTAGACACTGCGACACTTGCTGAGCAATCCCAGTTGATGCTGTCATCCCACTGCACACTTAAGGTGGGCAAGTCAGCTGCAGCAAGTGACGTTCCAACATCCCAGCCTGATGTGGACAAGACAGACACCGCCGGGAATGTAGCAGGTGCCAAAGGCTTCTGACTGCCTTGAGTGATGCCCCGGGCTTCGCCAGCATGAGCTTCAGTCCCTTAGTGAAAGATGTGCGAGATCACTTTGAAGATAGGACAATCTGGCAGCTTTTCACCTGGAAAGAGGAAGCGCAAAGCAGGCTAACGGGAAAGGTGGGGAAGGAGTGGGCAACCGGCCGGCTGGATTCAGGATGCTCCAAGTGGCCGCAAGAGCAAAACATAGAATTAGAGACAGATTGCCTATGTGCAGGAGATTGCAGGAGGCCCTGGAGAAGCAGCCGCCTTTGCTTTGACCGATAGCAGGAGCCATGTAGTATTGCTTACGAGGTTTTGAACGATAAAGCCAAGCCATATAATGCAAAATACGCCCATGTGTATGTGTGGGAGATAGAACGGGGTCATCCTTTAGTACCTTGAAAAGGAAGCATGTGCAGGCTCTCAAGGCAGACCGCACGCACATCTATCACAATGAGCCAGAGCCAGGGTCAAGCAAGCCATGAGCTTGTCCACTACGTCCCGAATTATGAAGAAGCACCAATACAAGCGACTGGTGCATTTATTGTTGCGACCTGCAGTAAACGGTGATGCCACAGTTTCAGATGTCGTGGCTCACCTTCTTTTCCCCCCTTTACTGCGGTTGATGATTACGTTTCTAGCTTTTCGTTGCAGGACCAGCCTGGGCTACATCTGCGAGAATTGCGGCATTAACTTTGGCACCATGCAGAAAGGCGGCCTTGCAAGAAGTGTCGCCGCTCCGATTTCCCCGTGGTCAAGCACCACTGCGGGCTTCAAGAGTTTACGCTTTACAAAGCTTTAGGATGCATATTTGTTTCACTGCGCTGCAAACGATCACCAAAAACCAGTCCTCACCAAGGTTGGGGAGTCGGCTGAAGATGAGAACCTGTGGTTCAATTGCCCAAGAGGCTGATGTTGTGGAGGTGCAGGAGCTGAAAGCGACCAATGATACGTTACAGCAGGAGCAAAGGATCGATCCCACGACACCAGCTGGTATTTCTCTTGGATGAAACATCTACAAAAGCTCCTGCAGCGCAAAAGTTCAAGATGCAAGCAGGTCGGTTTCAAATTAGGAATCCTCTTGTGTGAGTTCCACTCCCTTGACATCGCGCAAACAGTTGGGGGTCAGTATGCAACCATGTGTTTTTTTCATGGTGATAGCTGGCAACCTGACCTTGGAAGAGGCGCTGGCAGAATACAGAAGAGGGTATTGGAGCGCGGGAAGGAAGCAGTGGGATACAAAAGTGAAGCCCTTGGGGAGGGAAGAGGACGATGCCTTGACACGGAGGCAGAAGAATTGCTCCCTCAGGGTGTTGACCTCGAGTATCACACAGGGCATGTAGAGACATCGCATTTGGCGGAGGAAGCTGCTGCTGACGATGTCTCGGGCTCTGAAGAGGGCACAGGCTCCAGTAGCAGCAGTGGTGTCAGCAGTGGCACTGCAGAATGAGAAGCAAAAGGGCTGCTACTGCATGTGGGCACAATTAGGATCAATTAGGCGTTGTATTTTGTGTACATATGAAGACACATGCACACCTGCAGTATCCCTGAAAAGCGATGGGTGACTCACTGATCCCTATTGACAAGACTTAGCTGAACATGTAATTTTGACCGTCCCTCATATGCTAGTCCATGATGGTCCGTTGATATATGGGTATGCCCATAATGTAGTCCTGGTCCACTCATCCCATGGAGCGGCGTGGTGTCCCACCCCTTAAGGAACTGGCGGGCTTTTCTGAATCAAACATTTTGTTGTGGTTATTTTTCAGAGTCTTAGTTTGGTTGCTAAATCCGAAACTTGAAAGAGGATGACACTTTCATATCTTTCATGCGACACCGAGCACCATCCAACCCCCAACCGACCAGGCTTGGAGGCTTGCCACTCTCGAATCCTCTCAGCGCCCGCTCCTCGAGACTCGGCGGTGCGTTCATCGCTTTCGATCGACGGTCCCGAAGGGGTCGGCGGTCGGACCGGTCGAAGGGCCGAATTTGTTAATGGTTCTGTGTGGTGCTTGCGTTTCTTTTTGTGGGGGGGGGCGGTCCGAGTTGTTGTTTTTCTTCTTTGGGGGGTGAGTACAAGTTGTTGTTTCTTTTGTTTGGGGGGGGGTCCGAAAAGAATGCCAAAGATGTGTGAGTTTCCAATGAATTAAAGGGAAATGTTGGATTTGTGTCAAGCGTTTCCCATGAAATATAGTAGTCCCCTCGCTCCTGGTCCACTGTCCCAAACACTCCTAAACCCATTCAGCACACGCCGATGGTCAAAGAGCGCTAGCCTGGGGCGACATGGACGATGCCCCACCAGCAAGAAACAAGGAATCACTGTTGAGTATGGAGGTGCGTTCAAATGTCAGACCCAGTGTCAGACCCTGTCAACGGATTTCACCAGTAGACGCATGTGTATAAAAGTATATAGGGATGTTGTTTCTCCACTAAATTTTGCGCTGATTGACCATATTCACGGAAAAATGCGTGCCCTTATAAGATGTCCCTCTACTGACACTGGATGTGCGTTGACGACCTGTACCATGAGGATCCATGAGGATTGATGAAATAGTGTTGAGAACTGTGCAGCCTACAAGACATTACACTCCCGAAGCACCACGCCGGCAGCGTATGTTTTATTTAAGGGGAAGGGAAGGTCGTTTTTTCGGTTCTGTCCTTCACAGCGCTTGCTTCAAGAGAAAGACCTTGGTGCAACCACTTCCACTTCCACTCGAACCCAGACTTGTTCTAGGTGGCTTTTGCTGAGCGCGTGGCACACATGTCAGAGGTGGCCCCACTCTCATTGGCCAGTCGCCGGCCTGCGAGGATGGTGGTGGGAACCCTCCCAAGGTGAGGAATAGTTCCAGAAGATCAGTCTGCAGGTTCACTGGTCGATACTTATGCCGCATGCCCATACAGTGACTCTGGTGCACCCTAAACTCTGACCAACAACAGACATGGGCGTGGAAAATAGCCCTTGGTAAGACGCTTCCACGAACTGGAGTGCACACCAGATAAAAACATATGGGATGACGTTTTATGAGAATGCCAAAGCGGTGGTGAACACCACTTGCATGAGGATTCCTGGGACGTTGGTTCCTTAAGCCCCCTCCGTTGATGCCGGAACGGGCTCTTGGGAGAACCAGACGTAGCACTGCTGGTCGGGTCAATGACGGGTCTAAGACAAGTCGAGGTGCGGTTTTTCATGGCGATGTCCTGCCCGCTAGGCCTCTACTGTAGAGAAAATACACTGAGTAGAGAGAAAGAGTGAGAGAACCTGTAGAGAATCAAGTGTTTGTGTTCTAAGAGTTCTGTTGATGTGAGCATTTTGAAGACAGACTGGACTATTTAACAATTCTTGGCAGTCTTCGGGACCGCCTCTTCTGAACAGCGAGTGAAGCTGGAATCAGGGGGCCTGGAGATGAGTCCAACAAGCGATGTTCTTGGGTTTCTCAGGTTTTTTGGATCATTTGGATTTGGATATTCAAGTGTTCAGGGGCCAAATGGCAATGCAAGTTTGGCCCATGCAACACACAAGTCCACTGTTCGAAAGACCCACTCAAGTGGCGATCCAAGGTATCGCTTGGGCGTGCGTCTCAATGGAGGTCAGGCAGGCTGCCCTGTGCTTTGGATTGAAATTGGACCCTCAGGTTTGAGCTCCTGGCATGGTCTCTATAGAATTGATGGGTTTGGGGATTGCCACACGAGGTTTGTCGACCAAAAGTATCCAAACATCCAGCAGATTTGACCCTTGTAGCCCCTGACGTCGTGGCATTTGGATGTGAATCAAGGAGCACGGAGGCCACTGGGTTAAGTCCATGTTGTGGGCTTCATGTATGAGCATTATGTAAAGGACGCACTCAGCTTTGGTTGGCAGTCAGCGAGGTTGAGACGCATTCAACTCGTAGCTTTCCTGGCTTTTCTGCTGCTGATTTTGATCTATGGCATTGTCCTTTGTGCCCATATGGGTCCTCTCTCCTGACTTGGTGTATTGAGCTTTTCTCAGATCTCGTGCCAATGCCGATCTGCGAAAGATTTGCCTCCAGGTTGGATCGGATGGCGGGGACGCTGTTCAAAGCTCCAGTGGATGAAGGGGTTGCCAGCATGGCTGTATGGACCTTGCGACTTGGGCCCAATCTGTGCAAGGCTGGATCTTGATGAAGAGTCCGACCCCCGACTCTAAAAAAGCATTCTCTCCAAATGGATGGGGCCCCGTTGGGCGTCAGCATGTTTTTCTGATTGGGTAGTGACATGTATAATCATGTGTAGTGACATTTAGAGACCTACCTTTTGAAGAAACTGGAGGGGTAGGATCTAATGATTCGCTAATTCTTTGATTGTCTGGCAGGGCCGAACACAAGGTCCCAAAGCTGAACATACATCCAAGATGCCTAGTCCAAGAGCCGTTTCTTCCGCGAGGCGAAGCGGCCCCAAGCTCCGGGGATTCACTGCTGTGTTTTGTCCAGGGGCCTGTGCCAGCGCACCGATCACCAGTATCGGAACGGATTTGATACATGGTTACATAACCCTTAGTTTTGAGTTCCCTTACAACCAACCTCTCATGATATTTAGGGAGGAAAAGGTAACAATCAACCGTTCTTTCCCCTCCGTTGGACAGACCCTGCCTCGTGTCTCCGTCCACCGTCGCTCCGTCTCGCTCAGGTCACGGGCGGAGCCTGACTTGCGCCGCGCCTTCCGTTTGGTGCTCTCCGCGCGCTGGCGGATCCCCCCGGTGAGTCTCTCGGCGCTGCTGGAGGAGTGTGAGCAACGAGTGGCCCGGGCCGCAAGGTGGGAAAGGTGAGGATGGCACGGTCCTTTTGTTTTGCCCAACATGTGAGAGATATTCTAGATATGTATGGTCCAACAAAAACAGAGATCTGAGTTGAGGCCGGCTGCGATCCTGGTCTGCCCAAATTGTTAGAGTTTCGATGATGCTGTATGGCCTAAAAAAGACGGAGATCCGAGTCGAGGCCGACGGCAGGTGAGTCTCAAGTCGGACCCCCGGGGACCAGAGATACACAGATCACAGGATCATAGGATGTATATAGTATTGGATGTATTCTTCCGGAGACCCCGGAGGGTGTCGACACCCCTCAAAGTGTCCACCCATGGTGTCCACCATGTTCCGTTTTGAGCACGTGTGGTCCCCTGCAGGAGGGTAAGACTTAAGGAAAGATGTTGATTTCATGAAGTGCACTCTGCCAAACACATCATGTGGAACTGGAACATCATGGAACATCCCTTGGACTCGGAGTTCGGAGAGCTCTGCCAGGGGCCAGGAGCCCCCCCCAGGGGCTGTCGGAGTTGCACCGGGTCGCCGTTTCCATGTGGCACGACGCGGTTCCTGAGGGCCTGCATCAAGAGGAACGCCGCGTGCTGCGGCTGATGGAGCATGGGGATCTCGCTCCCGTGGTCATGGACACTTGGCTGGCTCTGACATGGTGACATGCACGGTTGGCTGGCGGTTTGTGGGCGTTTTGGAAGGGTATATCCCAGACACTCTACAGAGCTTTCAGATGATTTCGGTCCAGTCATTGTTTTAATTGTAAGCATAGCTTTCGGTTGATTTCGTGTATCGGCCTCATTTCAGAAAATCCCTAGTTGAACTACAGTATAGTTGTTGCTTTTTTATGATGGTCAACCCGCCCAGGGAGCACAGGCACAGACCTTCATATGCCCCCTCTCAAAGAATGTGTATGAATGTGTATATTTGGTTCGGGCCCAACTGGGAGTCCTCGTCTGACAAGAGGATTGCCGGGATTGCTTAGGAAGTGCGTTCACGGCTGCATTCAACACAGCTGCCGAGACCCGGTACAGCGGGGATAGGCAGTGGCGGTGAGGACAAGGAGCGGTGAGTGGCGATGAGGGAGGGCAAGGAGATGCGAGAAGAGTGCAACTTCTAATCAAGTTTCATATGCTTTTGTCATCCAGGTGGAATCCATGCACTTGAACCCTTGGAAGTGCTCAATGCCACAATGCTATTAATTAGTTAGTTACTTAGTGTGTGTGTGTGCCTTCATCAGTGTGGAATCTAACGCAGTTTGGGTTTACTCACCTTGTTTTGTTATTTAGGTCGCTGATTCGTGGGCCATTCTCATTTCAACCGGCTCTTCTTCTGAAGTTCCAGCTTCATTTATCGCGTCTTCGAGCTTGCAGAACAAAGTTTCACCCACATTTCACGGAAAAAAAGGAGCCAAGTTTGCTTGGCTTTGGTTGTTCGTTGTTTTGTCATCAGACCAAGTCAAGGTCCATATTCGTGTGCACGAGCCCAGAACGCTATCCGCTAGCTGGATCCAACGCCCACCCCATGTGGCCACCCCAGTCAATGCCCCAGGTCGGCCAAGCTGTCGAACGCGGCCTGGCGGCACAGTATCACACTTGTGTGCATAGTCATGCGAAATGCAGGAAGTGGGACCAGTGGGATATGTGATTCTCAAACATATACGATCATATACAGTATCACATGATTATACTCTGGGATGTATATATATATATTAATTATAGACAGGGATTATATGTATATATGTGCTATGTATCTAGTGTGGATATATACAGTAAATATATATAATGAAACATGGACATGGACATGAACAGAGTTTGGCCATTGAATGAGGAGCCTGAGTTGCCCCAGCATCATAGCTGCCACAGACCTGGGTCAAATCAGGCTTCCGCATGCCATTTCTTTGTGCAATTGGCACGTCACGTTGCCCCAATGGTGTATGTGAGTGTGTGTGTGTGTGTTTGCACTGCAGAAGTGCAGTCAGCGAATTCTCATGGATGCAACGGAACATGCATGTCATCCGAGCTGTCCCCGGATGTCCCGAGCCCGTGGGAACTCGGAGTTATGCCCGGCCCATGAAGAATCTGGATGAATCAACTCTCCAACCCAGTAGCTTCTGGTTACTATTACTAGTATTGGCCTCCAAGCTAATAGCGATGGCCTCTAACCTAGTAGCTTCTTGCTACCGGCATGTTCCATGCCGGAACCGCATGGCTCTTCACCGACAACGCGGATCGTTGTGTGGCTATAAGCTTTGACCAAGTACCAGACTCAAGAGCTGTCCTTGTCGAAGGTGTCGTGCCCTGGGAGGGTGCATGTCTTGATGGATGCACTGATTCTTCAAAAAACCTTTCCATGACTTCTATTTGTGTTGTCTATATATATATAATATATTATATATATATTATGTCGTTTCTATGTCGAACGGAAGGTGTCGGTCAGAGACTCCCGCTCAGGAGAGCCTGGGCGTTACCCGGCAAGTCATTGGAAAGAAATGTGGCACACGGAATGGGTTTTTGTCAGTGAAGCTGAGGGGGCGGGAGTTGATCTTCCAGTGATGCAGCCGTACCAAGATTGCTTTCTTGTTCCCCGCTCAGACCTTCAGTTTTTCAACATGATCCACATGGATGGTTTTGTCGGTGGTAAGGTTGATGGCAAGCATGCGTAAGACAGTCATGCAAGTCATTATACTGTATATGAGAGTTCGATTTTTTTGGGAAAGAACTATAAGATCAAACGGTTTCTATTGGGCGCTCTGCGGAGAGCTGGCTACTTTTGCCTTTGGTTGATGCAGGAAACCACACAATGCAGATCCATCGAAGGATTGGCTTGAGGGATCATGAAGAGATGAGAGATCAGAGCCGCTCAGACACGCCAGAACCATGGAATCACATATGACATCGCATGAACAAGACATGTAAGAACATGGTAGGCATTGAAGATGGCCAGAACCTGCAGGAACGGTCAGTTCCCGGTGGACATCCACAAGACATTACAAGACCAATGGTCAATAGTGATATAAGCTTAAGGAGGCATAGACATGTATAGACACATGGTTTGTATAGACACAATGATGATCATCATCATCATCATCATCATCATCATCATCATCATCGTCATCGTCATCGTCATCGTCATCGTCATCGTCATCATCATCATCATCATCATCATCATCATCATCATCACTGGACTTCTGGAGCTGGAAGCAACACCTCTCCGGACACACGAAATGCTCCGAACATGAGTTCTTCAATGCCCACCAAAGCTCCGGTCTTTCGTGAGGCTTGTGCCATTCGAATCTAGAAGTGGTCCGAGCCGTTGGGAGATTCCTATGCAGATGCTTAAGATGAACCACCCCGAAGTGGATGCGCCGAAGTGAATGTTAAAGGGGATCAGTGGAGCCTTTCACAGACCTTGAAGCTGCAGCGATGTTGGCAATGCAAATCAGTAGCTGCGGTGTTGACACTAATCGTACCATGTGAGAAGCACCACAAGATTGATGCCGAACACTCCATAAAACAAGCTTGCCCCAAGCTTGACTCTGAATCGCTGCGCCCATGTCGCCCTCGTGAGCGCGTTTTTGATCCGTGCTTGGGCATCCAAGTGGAGAAGCTTGAGCGCTGATACAATGATGACAAGTGATTCCATCTTCCGGTGTTTTCCAGTGATGCCATATTGCGGGGTGTTCATGTTTTCCGTGTCTTCAGCATGATCATAGGCAAAGAAGTCAACCCGCCTGCACACGTGGTAACAAGTGCGTAGTTCAGAACCCTACATGTTACCTGAGGGCAACTTTGGTGATTAACCATATAACCACAGGTGTTTATTTATGTAAGTTATAGGATGTGTGATTTGTGTGTTTTATGATCTCCCGCAAAAAACACTTGTGCTTAGCTTGCCAGATATTGGTGACTTCATGTGACTTCACCTTTTTGATCAACGTGACACAACATGGACAGGTTCAGTACGATCATGCAACATGGCCAGGTTCAGCACATTGCATTACTAGTTTCGGATTCTTTTAGGTCAGATCGATTTGATTGTTTTACACATGGACTGCCCGTGGTAGGGTGGATTCTCTCGGCCAGAAGTCGGTCAAGGTGACAGGCGACAGTTGGGTGTGCAGGGACTTGCCCCCAAAGAATCGCAGGAAGAGCCAACAAAAAAAGGGAGACGTCAGCGGAACCACCCAGTGAATATAGATTTCTCGGGCATGATTGAACAAAAACATTTACTATACCCTAGGCTTCCAAGACCATTCAAAGAAAGGGAATGACCTGGTTGCGTAGTGTAAAATCCTTGGTAAAACAGCTGGTGGTTCGGGATTCAGGCCATTAAAACAAGGGTTGGCCAGGAAGCCTAGGATCCCCTGAGACCCCCCCCCCCCGAGATTTTTCAGTAGCTCCCCCCCTTTACAAAAGGGAGGTAACCCCGACCCATGACCGACTGTCCGCGGACCGTGCTCCTGTGCTGAGGGACCGCACCATGGCGGCCTCCGTGGGCCCTGAGGTGATTTGGGAGGCCTGGAGCGGGGCAGGTGGTTATATGCATGGTTATATGCACTGGAATGCAATGCACTGCATGGTTATAACATGTTGTTTTGGTTCAGGTTGAGGTTTTTGTTCAATGCATTTCAGGTGGTTTTTTTCAGTGTTCTGAAATGGGTGTGCATGAAAATATAGAGAGACCTCTAAAATCCCAAGGGATTTGAGGTCAATTTTAATACAGACCCAGATGTTCTATAGTCATTGGACCTTTGCCAGGATGAAGAGTGAAGCATGTGAGCCGGAGATTGCAGGCGTTTTCTCATTTTTCGGATCGTGACCGTCGGATCGGAACGTCTCCGACATGAAGAGACGTTTGGGACATTTTCACCCTTTTCACCCCCTTTTTCCATCTATAACCCTATAATACTCTGCGTAACTATTTGATTCATGATTGCATGGCTATATAAATATATATATATATACCATATCTAACATCTATACAGTTGTACACCATGAATGTCATAGCCATCTCTATAGTCAGATCACTCTTTCATGACCCGGACGTCGGCGACGGGCCCCACCCGCCCGCACCGGCAGGTGCTCCATCCGAGCTGCCCGGTGCGGGCGGAGCCCCACTGCGAGGGAAGAGCCGCACGGCGCACGGGACGAGACGGTCGCGGTCGCGACTGTTGCCCTTCGTTTTGGTTGGGGGGGAGACCCTTGGGGCAGAGAGTCCTACCCTAAAGATCCAACAGATCCAAACAGATGTGATATATAAGTTCAAGTTCCTTTTCAAAGGAAAACTGAGGGACTCAGGAGGTGGTGATGGCACGAACGGGCAGTGTTCGTGGATCTGGATGTCCGGTCTGGGCCCTTTGAAAGAGACGTACTTGCTCTACTGGTGCCTTTGCTAGTCCCGGTTCGAATCAAACAGGTTTGGTTCTTCCAGGAATTGATGGCAATCCACTCCAGCTCTACAATCATGAACTACAGTCACAAGTGCTCTCATAGAGTTTTTCTTATGGGACTGAAAGCTATCAACAGGGCACGCATGAGTACACACACAACATCCATCATTTTGACACGGCAACTTCAGAAGATCAACCGTACCAAGTACCGAACCAATATATCAATCTCCGGATGTTTTCGTTTACCGGGTGCCTCAGAACTGAGGTGTTGAGCTGGAAGAGACGAGGCACCGTGGTAAAACTCGGGCGGGGTAACGAGCTCGTTTTATTTTGTTGCGCGGAACAAAAAAAAAAGCCGCGCCTGGTCTCCCCAAGTCTTTAACACCTCGGGTGCTTCGTTCTCGGAGTTTCGCTTCAGAAGCTCCATTCGATCCATCTCCAAGATGCGAAGACGAGCCGCGCAGCCAAGCGTCTGGGGCACACTCCTCCAGCAAATGGAGTCACGGGTAGTCTGGGCGTACACATGCAAATCCAGGACCGATTCCATTCGTCCGGTTGTTTTTGGATACCCCGAATCACCTCTAAGGCTTTTTATCTATAGACAATAGACACCTCAGAAGGAAGGAGCATACATCACAACTCTGCAATACTGGTGCGGGAGGTCTTCAATCACTAGCTAAATCCTCCACAGTGCCTCCACAAGTGGTAAACCTTAACAGTTCAGGTGGCCACGCTCCCGAACCCGCAATTTGACATAGAAGACGCCCCCACCCCAATACTTCCAGATCAGAGGACTCGCCAACACACATTACCGTGGTGGCACCGGTGGCACCCCCGAAAAATCGTTTGTGCGCTTCAGTAGCTCCCTGTGCTACTTCCCTTGCATGCCAACTAGCCGACCAGCAAAGAGGACCATGGCACCGCCCATGCAACGGCCGGCCGCCCAGCGCTCAGCCGCTGAGCCGCCCGCTGCAGGTCAGCAGATCACCTGTAGCGAGATCACCACCGATGGTTGGCTCAAAGTCTCCGATCGGGGCTGGTGCGGTGTCGGTGGAAACCGGCGGGGTGTGTGGAAACCCACCGCGGGGTGGAACCGTGCGGGGAACCGGTTCGGCCGGGTTGGGTTCGGTTCGGACGGAGGCGTTCGGAGTACGGAGCAGGGCGCCCTGATGGGTCTCGAGACCCGCATGTCATGGAAGGAGTGATGGAAGGAGTGGAAACCACGCGAGGAATTGGCAAAGAGGTGGCTCCAAGACCTTTTTTTTTCCAAGTGGTATATAGAGTCTAGTGGGCTGACATGCCTGTGTTTGGCAAGAAACTCTGCAAAGTAGGCGAAATAGCTGTGGAATCTTGAAAGAATGGTATGAATATGTATGAATACATCAGAAGGCTGCGGCACTTTCTTAAATCAGCTACAATCAGCTAAATTAAAGATCATGGGCCCACACCCTCAACTGTTGATTGAGAAATGCACAGGATGATAGGGTAGCGCTTAGAAAAGCCAAGAAAAGCCTTTGGTACCAGCCTACGTGATGGGATGTTGAATCATTCGACCCACTCCATGCATCTCTACCTCATTCTACCTCCATGCTGCTGCTGTGAAATGCTTTGACCCACTGAGCGGCTAGTCCGGCCGCAAGATCAACAAGACTCAAATGGGGGATGTCAAGCAATGCTCTTGGCACAAGTTCCGCTTGGGACCCCCAAATCCAATACGTACCCTGAATACATGGGAGTATGGCCATTCACGGAGATATAGGATGTGACAAGGGTTCCACCACACGCAGTTTCTTTGTGCCCATTGACTACCTTCAGAGTAGACTTTTGGTCTCCGCCAGTGCACCCTAATGACATACAACCCCCCAGATATACCCCGCTGTGTCTTCAGTACAAGGACTGGTTTGTAGAGCAAAACAGTCCTTCAAGTTCTTCATGTGCGTTTTCAGGACTGCCATTCAGTGCTCTCGGCGCCAGGATGCTCTCCGACCTGCAGGGTACTCATGGCCTTGGGAGCCTGTTACAGCCCAAGCGCGGGGAGGTGAGGCATTGGCACCGCACGGCACTGCAGGTGGTTGAGTCCTGGTTGAGCCACTCCAGACGAGACGTTTTTTGCTTGGGGGAATATCAAAAATCATATAGAATCACCTCGCGCAGAAGAATCTTAAATGGTGACGTCATGTCGGGAAGGTCCTTGGCTAGGTCTATTTATGTTCCTTTTTTGGGGCGTGCGTGGAATATGGTTGGAATATGTTGGAATCATAGAAATCATAGTGCAACATCCATTGTGAGAAGACACAGTGTCCGCTATATAAGTGACCCTTGGAGGCACAAACGGCCCAGTATCAATTGCACCTGATGTTTGTCAATTTTGCAAGAGTGGTTCCCTGTTCTTGGCAAATCCCTTAATAGACCATCATAGGTCCACTGGACTGCACTGCCAGCGTGTGGGGAGGGGGTACAACTTCAACGTGCTGTTGCTCCTGGCAGGACATCACCCTTGCTGTGGATGAGCCTCAGCCACAAGGACAGAAGACATGTCAATGTGACGAAAACCCTGCGGGCCAGGCGTCTCCCATATGATGCAGTTTCTGGAGCCCCAAGAGGGACGAGTTAATTGTAGGTGAGGCACCTCAGAATCCAATGGTTTTTGTCAAAGAACATTCCAGGAACAGAGTTTTGTCATGTGTCCCTGATTAGCGGTGCTTTGTGCCGTTGTATGTCATTGTAATACATATGTCATATGTTGCTGTTGGGTTGCATCTCGATGCATCCAATGGTCCGTTCGTATGCATCCAATAACCATACAATTCAGTACGTTGCATAGCATGCACCTTCAAAGTCCAACTTACAGGTCTGAATACTTTGGCCTCAGCATTGAAACATAGTCAACTTTGCGGCAGCATCACAAGGTGAGGGATCTCCGCCCACCTATTCTCACCCAGGCCAAGCCTCCTGTTGATGAGCATTTTGGGAGCATTTTGGTTGACATTTATCTCAACCCCCTTTATTTACAATGGAGAACAACCCAATTCCTTGCGACTGCGACGCGTGCTTTTGTATAGCAGCTGACCCCCAAAGTATGGAATATTAACCTCAATTGACAGTTAAATCGTCTTAAAATCACCCCAATGCAGGCAACTTTTCCAGTTTGGGGTTCGCCTGCCCTGGGCGCAGCCCGCCCGCTTTGGTTGGTTCGCTGGGGTGTCTATATCTTTGCTCCGCTGCTGGGAGAGGCATTTGCTGCCTTGAGGTCACCTTTGCTCAGGCACGTGATCTGCGTGGCCATACTCAGAGATTCACAGCTTCAACGTTTCTCAGACTTGCTTGAAGGGGAACATTCTACAGGAAACCATGTTTTTCACCCGCACCACACATAGTATTTCTTTACAGGTTCCCTTGAACTAAGTCCGAGACCCGTGGAGCGGGCGGCGTTTTCTCGCATGCGAAGCATCGCAAGGCTAGAAGGGCCCTACCTACTTATCCACATACCCTCCGACACGTCACATGGAAGTGGACCAGAGAACCGTTTGCAAATGACACTGTTTTCCCGGGGATCATGGTCCAGTTTCATGTCAGTGGGCTGGAGTCGGAGTGTAGAGTTGTTGTTCCAATCCTAGGATATGGTGATTGTGGTAGAAATGGACCACAGGAGGCCTAGAGAAGTCCAAGAATGTCTAAGTGGACGCGACATTGACTGTCATTGACTCACAGGAAGCATGTGTTGAATTCGGTCGACCACCGGTAGCAGTCATTTGCTATTGACTTACATCCACACACCGAGGACTCCTCGGGGGACCCTGGCATGCCCGAGTTCAGGATGGCGACATGGGCACCTGGCTTTCACCAGTCAGTCTGGGCACGAATGAACTTGATTTGGCTTTAGAACGAACGCATCCAGGTCACAAACACACATGTGTCCACCATCACCAGTTATTCCTGGTTTGTCCGCTTGGACGCACCCTACATGTCTTTAGGCATGAATGCATTGATCTTGGACTGTTCAGTTTTGCACTGCCCAAACGCTCAGAGTGGGTGGTGGACCCTCAAAACAAGGCGGGCCCTCGTTGAGAAAAGTTGAGGTACCAGGAGGTAGGCCTTGAAAGTTGGAACCCTCCAATTGAGGGTTCTCACCCCTGCATCCATGTATTTGCATGAGAAAGTCATGCTTCTGGTATGTAGACCTCGAATCTGACATATGTTTTGGGGTGGTGGGTGGTGATGGTTGTGACTCCGCCCAATCCCAGCTGCCGATTTGCCTTTTTTCACGGGCCGCTGACGGCTTCACATCCTTCATGGCCGGGGCACCCAGCACATTACAGGTTAGCAAGTTCAAGATGGAGGAGAGCTAGGTACCTTTGCAACGTTCGAAGTGTCACGCTGGAACGATGTGTTGCCCGAGCGATTCTTCCCAATCTGCCCACCCAGTCCTCCGCACATAGCAGTTGGGTCATGCGTGGGTTTATCCTCTCTTTGCGAGTCAACAGGGCATGCTCATAAAAATGATGATGCTTGCAAATCAAATACCATAGTGCCCTGTTTGGCCGCTTTCCTTGGACGTCTCTGCTAAGCTTGTGCAGCGCAGCGTACGTTTGCAAGTGAATCAAGATATGTGAGCAATAGCTGTTTGCATCCGCCTCACTCATCACAAGCGGGGACACATCCATAAGTTTCAATGATTCCGTGTACGCGTGTATGCAAGTTGCGACCATTTTGTCAAGCTGCGAGGCATCAGGTCTTGAGGCATGTTGAAATGCGCATTCACAGGCCCAAAAACTTATCACTTTGGAAGGTATCGCCTTGGATGATAGCACGGGGTATGATGCCCTTGTTTTCCGGTTCAGGCGAGCTGGCGTGAACCTTGGCTGCGAAGTCCTGATGTGGTGCTGTCGCTTCCAATCCAAAAAGTGCTTGTGTGCAAGCTGCAAGGTTGTTGCTAGTGCATTCTCATAGATCCCTCTAGGGAAGTCCAACCAAAATCCGGTCTCGGCTAAATATACAATCACACTGCCGTTCAAGGTTTTGCCAGTTCCAAGCAATTGGCCATGCATTGTATCATGAAGTACTCTTGAAATTGGCACGTCTAGGTCGAACACGACACTTCCTTACGCTGCCATTGACAGGGAAGTAAAAATAAAGAGATCGCGAAGAACTAAAGGATTAAGTAAAGCTATATAGCTAACGGGCATAAAAAAAAGACAAAGCTCAAGGTTTCCATGTCCAAACCATGGTTCGGTTGGCATGAAAATCACTTAGATCAGGCTGGCTGGAAGCGTGAGATGCATCTTCACGGAAACACCCAAGCGTCATTCCAATGTCCGTGGGGTGGGACTTGACCACCCCACAATTGGAGCAGAATTGGTTTCGCTGGTAGTTGTGCACATGGTAGAGGCTCTTGACCCATTTCAAGTCGCCCTGCAAGCTGGTAAATGTGAAAGCGTAGCCGGCGTCTGACCAATCCTGGATGGTAGATGGATCGCACATGTCCCTCACTCGTGGGACAATAGAGGCCATTATGTCCTCATAGGTCCAAGGCGTGGACGCATACTCAGGGTAGACCGTGATTGGCCAATACCTGGTCCATGAATCATTTCCATATGCCAGGTCTGATGACCATCCTAAGATTGTAATTGCTCCGCACTCTGAACCTTTCCAAGTCGAGATGTCATCTCCGTAAAAGGAGATGGGCACCAATTTGTCCAGAGCTGGATAGTCAAAGCACTTGTTATTCTGAAACCACGAGCAACGTGTTTTGCAGTGTTCCCAAAAAGCAGCAACATCTTGGGGTGCGTGCCCGCCAAACATTGTTTTCTGCCAGACACGGTCACCCCTTTTGTAAAGGGCGCTAGCCATGCTGTCAGGATATATCACATCTATGTTTTGCCAGGTGACTGCTGCTTGAGAATGGTCATACATTCGTGCTCTCACCGTTTCAATCGAAGCACCAAATCGGCGGCAAAAAAAAACGAAGCATAGTGTGACAATCTCTTTCGACGTTTTGGCCATGTTTGCCACTTGCCCCCAGTGAAGAGATTCTGCGAACAATGTCACTCTCTTCGATCACCCCGCCCTTTTGTTCGCACCATCGGACTGCGGCAGCAGCTTCATGTTGTACCTAAGATAACTAGTTTTTTTTTTTCAGATCACTTGCGAACAATTCTGACTAACATGGTGGTGACGTGAATGAAAGGAACAACTCACATCATATAAGTACATGCACAAGCAAAAGTTGTTTTGCGTCCAGCTAGATGCCTTAACAGCGCTTGATTTGCCAGAAGCAAAACTTCCCAGCAAAAGATTACCAAAATCTCCAGGCGTTGGTCTTTTTTTGGATGTCTAGCTTGAGAACGTGCCGCCACAAACCGCTCTGTATCATGCGGCAGAGTTGGCTGAGGTCGCTCTTGTGCCTCGTCCTGCCGCTGGGAATAGAAGGCGCGGATTTTGGAAGTCATGGGATTTGGGTTGAGGTCCTTGAAACTGCTCCCTTTACTTAATGGGTAGTCATGGAAGGTTGGACCTGAGGGGAACCCCAAAAACGGACAGGTATCTTGAGACTCCTTGCTCAAGGATGTCAATCTCGTTCGGGAAACTCCTTCCAGCCGGAACGTGTCATGAATGCAAATGGACTTTCAGACTGCAAGATGATGGTTTCATTACCCGTACGACGGAAAACTCGGTGAATGTTTGAAGCTGCATGAGACGGATTGTGAGAGCATTGCGACGGATTTTTCACATCACCAGCGGACATCTATCCACTACACAAATTGGGTTTGAATTAGATAGCAGCCATCGCCTTGTTGCTCCTAAAAAAGCACAAGAAACTCATGGCCAACTGTGCGTTTGCACAGCTGCAAACGATCAACATGAAGAACTGAAGAAGCGTCACGTTGATGCCTTCTTCTCCTGGGTGCGAGATGCTAGTAGTCAATGACTGCAATAGAGTGTGAATTCCAGTAAAGCTTCTGTAGATACTAGTGTTGCGTTTGGTTTGCTGCGGGCTGGGTCCAGTTGAAAGGGGCCATGTAGTTAGTGCATACTTTATTGCTGGTCAACTCAACCCTAACCCTCGCCTTGCTGCTTCCAGCCTTTGGCTTCGCGGTCAAGTGTTTGGCTTCTGCTGCATCCTCCGTAAAGAGAGTCCATCGCTGAAAGCCCAGCTCGCTAGCGGCTTGAAGCTGTGGGATCTGGTTCTCCGGAATGTCCTATCGAAGGGGTTCAATTGAAGAACACAACACAGCAATATAACATAATATTGTGAAAACGAGCCAGGCGCCTTCTGCATGGTCAGTTTAGACAACTGAAGAAACGATCTTTCCAGCTCGTCAGTGTGCCCCTGGAAGCTTTGGCCTAGGGTAGTGGGTCCACCTGTACTTACATATCCAGCTAGCTCAAACAAACATCAAATCGGCTTGACCAGAACTTGAACTGCAATTTCAAAGGCACTCAGAGCAGACTGGTGCTTCAGGTGCGCTAAACGGACTGGCCAAAGCTTTGCCTCCTGCACCGCAGATGTCACCTTTTGGAGCACCCAATTTGCCCTAGGCACTGGCTCAATGGGCATCTCGTTCCTCACAACAGCGGTAGTATTGATTGCACCTTGACTTTAGATACATGGCACGATCACATATGGAAAAAACAAAGCGACAATCATGACAAGACTCTTCTTGCGTTTCCTGTTCTCATTTTCCAGTGGCTGGGGAGTCTCGGGTTTCTGGCCAGGACCATCAGCAGTGTTTTTTTTCCTGCCCTTCCCCCTTCCCTTCCCTTTCCCATGCCCGATGGCCAGTTCTTCCGTGTTCCCTGGCCCTGACGTCAAGTTCTCAGTCTTGAGCGATGCAGAATCCAAACGACGCATATCCCCCATGGTCACGGATGCCATGTTGGAAACGTGGTCCACATCCGTCAAGGATACAGCCGCCTCCAAAAGATCTGATCTTAAGATGACTTTGTTATATAATATGTGGCACTGTGGCAAATCAAGCTACGATTTGCTATATAACTCATGTCCGTTATATCCTGCCTCAGCATCGTTGCCTTCAATCATGCCTGTTTGCTCTAGCTTATCTTCATATATATCTTCTTCCATCTGCCCGAGATCAAGAAGAACATAATACAAAGTCGCGTGTGGATCATCAGGTGCGTCAGGATGGTCTTTGGTTTGACCCATCTGGATCTTACGTTCGATGATCTTGCTGACCACGTCCTCATCCCCTCCATGCAGCTTCAGAATCTGAGCCCGCGTTCTCCAACCTTTGGGGGGCATAACAC